GTGATTATTTAAGGGTGAGTATTTGTTGCTGGTCACTAAACTGACCTATTGGTGCTTTGGTGTTGCAAGTGTTAAGTACTTTGTAATTAAAAAGTGTAGTAAAGTGAGGAGCAAGTGTCGCCCTTCTACCTCCAATGAACTAGCATTTATGCTACAGTATGTAATGGGGGAGAGGTTAGAGAAGGCGAGCCTGTGAAAGGAATGTCTCCGATTTGACTCTTACGGCTGACATCATCAAATGTGGGTGGGAAAGGAAGCGACTACACAAGCCTCCACTCTCGTTGCTATCATTTTATGGGTTACATTATTAATATATTGTATACACATCATCAAATGTAAGAACACTGCTACAGTATTTACACGCCCAATGCTTAGAAGTTTTTCTCATTTCATTATATGTCATAATCATCTCCAACAAAAACATTGTATTTAGAAAGAAAAAAAAGATTAAACATTTCTAGTTATGTCTGGTTTAATTTTAAATCTTTTAAGTGCGGTAATTTTGAACAAGTTCAATAGACTGCTGAAATTAATTTGTGCCACAAAAGCCAAACTCACATACCTCATAGGCCTTTTATGGAACAGCTTCTAAGTCTAAAATGTTATTCTGTTTATTCGTCTGCCCTTGAGTAAGAAGGTGAAATTAGCTAATGGAAAGTAATGACACTTGCACATAATGATTATAACCCATAATGCTTTGAGAATGCAAGTCTGCACTCTAGGCTTTATGTTTTAGACATTGGAGCAAAATTGATCTTTTTATTGCTATGTGAATGCACTTACCCTCTGTGTGAGAAAAGCCCTCTGCAGTAACTTTCCATTGTATGAGCACTCCGAGGAGCATTAGGACAGGCCAGACCCCCAAGATGACCCATGTAAACCAGCACACTGGCTTCTTTGGTGCCACCTGTGGTAAATATGGACACATTTTCCTTAAAGGTTCACAAGTTACAGAAGTTATTGAATTCATTCAACCAACTGTTTCCCATATTGTCCTCTGCTTACAAAGTACTCAGTAGTTATTCATCAGATTATACTATACTGTAGTATATATAATATTTATATTTTGTAGTTTAAAATTGAACTATTTAGAGACATGATTTAGCTTTTAAACACCACAACTTTGACACCTCACTCCTTAGACTATTACTATAATGATGTGACTCAAGTTTCCAATACAACTACAATTATAAAATATATTGGAGATACTTTGGCATATTTACTTCTTATTGTGAATATTTTCAGATGATAAGAAGCAGCAGAAATGCCAGAGAAAATCATATGCAAAATTATACTTATGATACCACAACTATACTGACCATGAATCCAGGAATATAAATGACCAGATTTCCCTTTTTCCATATAAACATCATAGAATATTATCAAAACTGGGACATATATTTGCATATTTATGCATTTGTAGCTGACTAGTGACAATCAAACATTAAATGATGTCATTTGAAGTCATTCATAATCACCACATATTACAGTTTATTATCCAAAAGCCCATATGTTTATGTATATTTGAGAATAAAACCCTTTCTCAGTTCTTCCCAGCAACAAAAACTGGCTTCAAGGTGAGTGGTAGCTCTCTCCACAAAAAACAAACTTCGAGACTCCAACAGAAACTTGTGCATCCATCCTCACCTTGAGTCTGTCATAGATGTAGTGGACCAAGGCAAACAGTTCAATAAAATAATCCACTGTGACCGTGATGATAGCAGAGCCAAATGTTGCTGTAGAGAAGGTAACTAAGCAGCGCTGCCACTGAAGAGTGAGGACAGCAAACAGGGTTCCAGAGCCCAGAAGAATCCCCAGAGGAACCCACACTGTTTTGGGGTGATAGAACTCCTCCATGACCTGAAATAGATAAAGTGATGCTGTAGGAATAATTTGGTATTTCCTTTTTTCTATAGTACATATAAATGGTACATATCTATATATATATATATATATATATATATATATATATAAACAGATCAAATCTAAATGGGAAATGATAATTTATGTTTGTTTTATGAAATTATGTAATTTCAAGGTATAAAATAAACTTTTATTGTTTTTGAGTCCACCTGAAATTACTGCCACCATAACTATAATCATGTAGTAAAATCTGTCTCAGGGAGTAATATTAATGAGTATTTGCATTACCTTTTCATACTTTTGTTTACACTGCTTTTTTCCTCAAAATGTTCAACCCTTTCTTGTAACTTTTTGGTAAGTGTTTGTACTTCTTGTCATAATTTTAGATCAATTTGTCTTCTGCGCATCATTTAGTTTTTCTCCGTTTAAATCCATGTTGGTCTCCAAATTGCTCTGCACCTATGGTTTATTAGTCAATTACTCCTACCAGTTTATTGTCTCCCCACTTGTTTCTTTGCCAGTTTATTTTTACAACCGTTTTCCTACATCAAGACTTATTTAAAACTCTAAGTTTCATATTGTTTTTATTTTAGTTTATGAATTACCTGTGCGGTGTGTGTGTTCAGTTTAATGTGCACAAAATTAAGTTTTCTTAGCTTTTTATTGTCCTGCTGCTTACGAGCTTGGATTTGTTTCACAACATTCAACAACTGGCTTACAGCTACTATCTACTAACCTAATATTCATAGTAAAAATAACTTTCTGAGGATGCTGTACATTGTTACATTAGTATTAATGTACTGATTAATGTTTTATTCCCATCTAAAGGCATTTTAATATGTTTTTTTATGGGCTGTTAAAGTTTGAGTGCATGGACTTTAGTCAGTGTCAGAAGTAATCTAGGAAAACAGATGCATTACCACCAGTGATGCCACTCCAACCAGCAGGCCCAACAGCAGGCCGACCATAAACAGCCCCACACTGCGGACCAACATGGTCACAAGGCCACACAGGGTCCCGATGCCAAGACCAATGCCCACGGATGCCTCTACGCTCAGCTGAGTGTCCATCACCCTCTCCTTGTAGCACAGCATAAAGATGACTACGGAGCCAAACATTAGGCCTGTGAGAAACAACACGGCCTTGAAGCATCGATAGCCTGGAGGGGAGAAACAGAACACTGTGAAGACATCATCTGCTGCAGTTTGTGTGCAAACATGCCCCAGTTTATAGCAAATAGCATCTCAATCATAATGAAATCAAGCATAAAACAACTTCATACGAATCAAGCAAAAAAGCATTACACTAAAAGCTTCCTGGGAACATGAGCAGCCTGGAATAAAAAAAAAAAAACACAGTCAGCCATTCACACGTGACTAGTCATTTTATTTTTTTAACTTTGTTTTTCTGAATGCTCTCAGTTTAGAAATTTTGAATAAAACGTGTAATGTTTCCAAAAATGTCAAGCATATTCCAGCAGAACCATTATCTACTTGCACAATCATATAGTGTCAAGACTAATGTACAAAAACAAACCTAATGGCTTCATTATTATTGTCATGTTTATGAACCACTCCTTCCATCTCTAGTCTGGTCGATAAAAACACTTCAAAAACATTTTGATTCCAAACTCCTGGGTTTTTTTTCTCCCTCCTAACTCAATTTTGAAAGCCTTAGCATTTGTCTGCACTAGAAAGAAAATTTAATTTACTAAGAAAACAAAGAAGCATGTAAAAAAAAAAAGGCTGGAAGAGTGACTGCAATGATGCAGCAGCTGAAGGAGAATAGGGTTATTTACAAGCCCTGAAATCCTCTTCAAATGAGAACCTTTTAAAATAAAAACATACATTTTTGGTTTGTTTCCCCCCATTCTGCTTAAAGATGACCAGTAAACAGTTTTGTGGGTGTTTAAAATAAATAATGAAAGTATTTTTTGTCAAAAATATTGGCCATTACAAATAATTATCTATTATTTTAAGTGCCAAATGTCCTTTAAAAAAACAATACTTTGATTGGAAAAAAAAAAAAATGTTTGGTTTCATCAATGAAGGATAATACGAACAAAGGAACTGATATTAAATATTTCTAAAACATTTTTTAAATATGATAACTGCACAACTGAAGGTCATCCACATTCATTAGTCAAGAGGAAAGTTGAACAGAACAGCTGCTCTTCTCCTAATTTCCATTTTTCCCATCATAATGCCCCATCTACCCCTCCTTTTTATTTATTTTGTTTTATTAAAACACTCCAAAGTATTAGAATCTGAGTTTATCAGCAGTTCAAATCTTCTTAGCCTTTGCTTTCTGTTTATTAATGTTTGCCTCATCATATTTTCCTCTTGGCATTGTTGCCTTCCTCTCTCTGACTGGTCCTGGTCTCGGGGGTACCGGACCACAGATTGTTATCTTTGTGTAATCAGGCATTGCACAGCTGAACAGCACAACGCTCGCCCTTTTATCTAAGCCAACGTCCATGCTTCTCCCCTGTGCCCGGCACCTATTAAATTGACATGCTTCTTGTACACTTCTTTGTTTCTCTTTCAGTACTGTTTTATGTGCTTTTCTGAATTCATTTTAGTCGGGATGTTTGTCGAAGACCATTGTGCTTTTCACAGCTGTTTGCTCTTATGTAATGGTATGCCTGAAGGCAAACACATCTGACATTAGGCCTTTCGCGATAAACAATAAATCAATTAATTGCATGATAAATGAAAATTATCAACCTCATTTTCATTTATCGGTTTTATCATTGTTTCTTGGTGTCTCGCTCTATTTACTGAAGACACTGGATGACAAAAGGTTTGACTCCGGTGCTCTTCACTGACCTCTCCCTTTCTCTTTTTTCTCTTTAAAATCCGTTTTAATTGTCCAAAATCACATTTTTGGATTGGTAAAAGCAGCTAAGCTGAGAAGCTAAGCTAGGAGCTAAGCTAACAGGCCGACCTCGGGAAAAAAAAATTCCGGCTTGTCGAAGCTCCAAAATTCACGGTTGAAACCCGTGCCTTCCTGTAAGAAGTTGGTTTTCTCTGCAAAAGGAAGCTGAGAACTTGTTTACTGTTTTTTTTATTTTTTTTATTAAAAGCTTTGTGTGAAAAATGCTATGATAAAGAGCTCAAATCACATCGAGCGTCTGCCATCTTGAGAATGGAAAAAATGGAAGGAGAGACAGGCCATGTCACATCAAGGGCCCTCCCTCCCATTTTTCTTAAAGAGACACGCTGCTCGCTCCCTCACTATCCATCCTTCGGTTCAAATAGTCTTATACTGCCATCCAATGTTTTAAAAAAAAGGTACTACACACAAAATAAAATTAACCAACATTTCTTCTTAAATTTGACAATAATTACAAATTATTGTCAAATTTCAAACAATATTATCGTTTATCGCAATAACTTCTGAGACAATTAATCGCCCAGAAAGATTTGTTATCGTGACAGGCCTATCTGACATACTGGATTTCTGCATTTTCATATAATCTACCTCTAGTCTAAGGCTTGGCGATATCTCAATATTTTAAAAATATCTATATAATTTCATACGTGATATCAGATTGGACTATATTGTCTATATTGATATTTCTACGACGAGTTATAATTAGACTTGACAATCTTTGTAGTTCTTTTTCTCCCCATCTGCGCCAACTTCACGCGGTCCATCCTTCTCCCTCACTGAATACAAACCCAGCCCCTCACCCGCATGTGTTCCCCCGCTTCCTGCTTCTCCAGGTGGGCGGGAGTTTAGCGCAACAAGTAAACACAGGGCAGGATATTGAAGAGCAGCTCAGCTAGTGAGCAAAATGAAAAACAATGGCTGTTATTTGGAGATGGTTTGGATTTAAATTGTCAGATGAGCAGCAGAAAAATGTTTTCTGTTAAAGATACCGAAAACAAGTCCAGACAAAAGGTCAGCACTACGAATCTTTTTCACCATTTAAAACAGCGCTATAAGTGGAGTATGCAGCGTAAACTGTGGCTGCAGCTCCGATTGACTTCAGTGTCCTTCATCTTCCTTCCCTGAAACAAAACATGGGTCAAAACTCTTTTAGCCGTGCTGTGCCTTATGAGAGGAACAGTGAGAGGTAGAACAATATTAATAAAGAAGCGGCTTACATCGCTAAAGACACGGTCCCAGTCTCAACTGTGGAACAAGACGGCTAAAGACAACGGGGCTAACTAACTAATGTTATGAAGGTGGCGCAGCTGAAGAGGGTTATTATTTAATATATGTAAATGGTTTATATTTTAGACATCTATTTTGTACAGTTACAGCTGTTTGCTAATAAATGTGCCTGTGTGACAACTGGGAAAAAAGCTTTGACTCAGAAATATGTTTTTGTTATTACTTTATGAAAATAAAAAAAATTGAGATATATATCGTGATTCATCTAAAAATATTGCGATATTAATTTTGATCCATATTGCCCAGGCCTACTTTAGTCTAAGCATTTATTTGGTTGGTAGCTCTAAAGAAATCTCCAACATTTTTCCTTAATCAATCCTTAAATACATTTTTATCACTCTGCTGAAGGGGGATTTTGCATATGCTTGTGTTTTCCTGTATATGCATGTCTGTCTTTTGTCAGAAAATTTTATAAACCACTCAACAAACTTTAATGAAACTTGAACAAACCAATTAAATAGTTGACATGTACAGCTGATTAACTTTTGGTGTTAACCCCAGTCAAATTGGCTGCTACAGCTAAATGACCTTAAAACACATAAAAATGGCTGCCACAGCCAACTTTGTAAATCAACTCAAACTTTGATGTCAGTCATAACTGAGACTGGTCCCTGAAATTTAATCTGAATGTAAACAGATTGTACAAGATCTTTATTTGGAATTTTGCCAATAAAAGTTAAGTATACATTGACTGTCTGTTATCAATATATAATATTTACCACTGGATGAATTTAATGAAACATTTAAGATAAAATTAATTGATATCCATCTACAGCTGATTATCATTTGGACTCAATCTAAATTAAACTGGACACATCAGACCTTTAAATTACTCTATTTTTCTCCTCTATTGCCAATATATTCTTGTCATTTTTCTATCATTTAATCTTTTTTTTTAACTCAGTTCTTTATTTCTTAAAATGTCCCACCACTCCACTTGTTTTGGTTATCCTATATCTCCATTATTTGCTCCTTGTTGCTTCCTTTTCTCCTCCTACATCCCATCTGTTCATCCTGGCTTAATTAGCTTGCTTTCCTTCCATTTTAACTCTGCCTCATCCATTACGTTCCAGCAGCCTCACTTATCATTTATTCTGCAACTTTCTGTTTCTGCATGGATGGAAAGCGAACGCCACATTTGTCAACAAAAAATAGATTTATCACCGGGAGTAATTCATTTTCATACCAATCGTTCACACTAATGTGTTAATGACGTAACAATGACTGAGGGGTTTCTGAGAAATATTAACAATGTGCAGTCTCATTTGCACAGCAGTAATTATGGCCTTTAGTGTCTGATTCTAGAAAAAAATACTGTCAAACAAGAGAGACAGACTCCACGAGGCTAAGGCACTTCTGTTTCTGGGATCAAATGGCGTCTTTTTGTTTCTGAGGCCTTGTTGCATGATGCTGTTGATTTATTAATTTATTTATTTATCTATCTGCAACACTTTTTTAGCCATATAATTGTTAATCAAAAATAATCTGAGCTGTTGTCCCTCTTTTACAGTAGAAAAAAACGAACAAGAAGAGTTTCCTATTTAAGTGAGTTAGCAGCAGTAGGTTTGATGTTAAAACAAATGTGAGGGCTTCGGTTTTTCTATTTCTGTAAATATTAACTAGCAATGCTCTTTACAGTTGTATTTCAAGGACACTGTGGTACTAATGCATGCTGTCAACTTAAAAATAAAAGTAAATAAAGATTTCAGTCTGCCTGCTTTTAATGCCAAGGCTGTTTTACCGGGGCTTATTGAATGTTTAGACTGTCTGCACGCTTCAGTGAATTTGTCTCTATTTGCATGCAATAAATCTGCTCAAGGTTCAACACATCACTCCTCAGTATTCATCCAATGGTTGTCATTTGACTGCAATGTAAAAATGGCAAATTCCTGGCACTTATTCCTCTAATGGATGGCGTTTTCTTTAAAACAAAATAGCACATTTTTTTGGTGTTCTTTCTTTATCATTGTATATTTTTGTAACAATTCAGATTTAGTAATAGTGGAAAGTTTAGTTTTATCAATGACCAACTTCTACGTATTATTGCATGCATGGACTGCCATAATCAATGGTGGTCAATTTGGTGCATGCCTAAAGGCAGTATCTCACTCTGCTGCACCAAACTGAAAATAGTATTTGCAAGGGAGTTTTCAAAACTTCTGGGAAAACGTGCAGGTGTTTTCAATCTCCTGCTACTAGTTTCAGAACCGCACATCTGTGTCACATGAAGTTTGGTGCACATCAAAACAAAAAGAAAATAAGCATCACTTGTCATTCAACACCAGTCATTGGGAGATGAGCAGATGAAAATAGAAGACAATAAGAGATGCTGCAGAACCGTCTTTTTCCATCTAGTGCTGTATTGATATTATTATGTTAATAACTTTGATGATGATGGAAACTCTTGTCTGTTTTTATTGTTTTAGAATAAATGTAAGGTTTTAATGTGTATGCCAAGGTGTCACTTTTTTTTTTTTTCCTGCAGCTGCTGCTAAACGGCATCTACCCTCATAAAGACAAAGTGGTTAGGCATGAAACAATAATAGTTGCTTTGTTCAAATTCTCGTTCAGTTCTTATTGATTCCTGCATTAATTGACTGAATTTTAAAAGTAATTATTGATCAAACAATTTTCAGTCAGGTCATCTTGACAGTTTCTTTTTTTTTGTGTGTGTGTTGAAAAGTTTTGCCTTCGGTCCGGAAGGCTTCATCAGTCAAGGAAACACACAACAAAACTGATTCTTCCTCCAACAGCTTACTCCAAAGTGAAACAAACCAGTTCTTCTTGTGATAAGATGGTCTCTTTGGTACGCCCCCTCCTCCATTGCCAGCCCTCTTCCTTGTTGACAGTCTTGTCAAACTGGTTGAAAACAACAAAGTCCATGCTCAATAATCCAGGTATAAAATCCAACATTTTTTCAGTCAGGTCATCTGGACCATCTTATCACAAGCAGAACTGATTTGTTCCACTTTGAAGTAAGCTGTTGGGGGAAGAATCAGTTTTGTTGTGCGTTTCCTTGACTGATGAAGCCTTCCGGATCGAAGGCGAAACGTTTCAGCACAAAAAAAAAAAAAAAAAAAGAAACTGTCCAGATGACTTGACAAAAAAATATTGGATTGTATACCTGGATTATTGAGCATGGACTTTGTTAATTATTGATCACTTATTTCCTATATTTGTGATGCAAAGCAACCCAATTTCTACTTAGGAAATAAGGTACTACTTTACAATAAGGCTCCCCTTATATACGGCTAATAAATAGTTTATAATATGTTAATTCCTCTATAAACACATTTTAAATCATTAATAACTGTTTATTATGCATTAATTAAGGGTGACAGAGACAAAACTGACCAGTTTCTTGCCAAATAGTGAGCTAGATCTGTTCACCTATATATTTAATCTAGAGTTGTTATATTAAACATTTCAGACTAAGTTGCTACCTTTTAAGCACAATAAGCATTTTTAAACCTATTTTTTTCAATTATATAATATTAGTTGTAGACACTTATAATGCAGTGATAAAGTACAATTATATTTTAAATAAATAGTTTTATTAATGATTAATAATAATAATGATAATAATCATTAATGATTAATAAATAAATGATTTATAAAGTGTTTATGGAGAAATGAATACAAAAATGTATAAACTATTTATTAGCCATCTATAAGGTAAGCCTTACTGTAAAGTGGTACTGGAAAAAACTAAAAACAACTTGAATCTTCCTGTCCGAACGCACCCATTCATCACTGTTTCCATGCTTCCGGCATTTTTTTTTTGCTTGCGAGTGATAGATTTTCACGAGTGGAATGCGAGTGCCCTTTCTATCAGCTTGTTTCTTACCAAAGAAGCAGTAGATGATCCCAAAGAGGCAGCACATGGAGCAGACCACAGAGGGAACGATTTCATATCTCCTCTCAATCTCCTGGTCACACTTAAGCCCCATCTCAGCCAAACCCAACAGCTGGCTGGTGGAAGTCATGATGATGTAGTGGAGGGGGCAAGGAGGGGTACAGGGTGTGCAGGAATTCCTGGATCAGTGGGCCTCACCCATGGAGACGTGTCTTTCTGTGAACAGGACACATAAAGAAAAGAGCAATGGGAAGAGATTTAGAGTGGGACTGAGTAAAGCAAAGAAATAAAGGAGTGGGCAGTTATTGATGACTTTACGTACTCAGCTGTGAGCGCTGACACAACAGTGATCATGCTTCATAACTCTGGGAAAAATAAGGCTAGCAGCACTAATACAAGTACTTCTGAAGACGAACTGTAGAATAAGTTAAAGGTTGAGTTTGCCAGCAGTCTGTGGTGTTTGACCAGTTGCAGGAGATTTGCAGCACACAAATAATAGTTGCCATAGAAAGCTCAACTGAATTCATTTGCATACATTTGCATTCTGTGAGAAAAGTGTAGTACAAGTGCAAGGCTTGTGGTGATCTTGAATTTGTCCCACACAAAAAGAATAAAACAAGTAAATACATTTAATATTTTGATCACTCACTTTAAACAGTAAAGCAGCTGTTTGGTAAAACCACAACTACTGTATGTAAAATATAAACTTTGCACGAGTTAAAAAAACTGTCATGTTTACGAGTTTAGAACTTTGATAATGTGAGGTTTTCACCTTCTGTATATTTCTTCAGTCAGGTAATAAAATGTTAAAGCTTACATGTGTTTCATAGATTTAATGAACAGACTGACAGTACATTCAGAAAAAGTTGTTTAGTGATATTTTGGACTAATTTTGGTATAGACTGAATTCAGCTTTTACTCATCATTATGTTTTCAGATACAATAGTTTCTCACAAAACAATGGGTTTTATTATATTTTAAAAATATTTTTAATTGTGCGAATGCTTATTAAGCTTCTTTCAGCTTCCTTGTTCAAATTTAAACTTGTTTTCAGCTACTTTCAGCAGTTTTCAGCTGTTTTGTGATCCTTTCAGTGTTTTTCTGCTAACTACATCATTTGTGCACTTCTTCTTCTTTCTGCTAGTTTCAGCTATTTCTGCTATTTCAGCTACTATTTAGCTATTTTATGCTAATTTGAGCCTTTTCAGCTAATTCCACATTATTAGCAATTATTTCAACTTTTTTCAGCATAATTCAGCAAAAACGTGCTGTCTCCACTTCTGTGTGGTAACTTCAGCTTGTTTCTGTATTTTTAGCTACTTTTCAGCTGCCTTTTTTTTGTTGCTAATTTCTGCTTTTTTCAGATAATTTCCACTTTTTTGTGATCATTTCGGCTTCTTTCAGCCAACATGTTCTTTCTGCTTCCTTGTGCCAATTTAAGCTTCTTCTCCCTGTTCACCATCATTTTAACAATTTATTTTAGCTCATTTAAGATATTTTTTAGATAAATTCAAGTTTTCATGCTAATTTTTGCTTCTTTCAGCTGAATTAACAAACAAAACTGGAAGAGGAAGTGCAAAAATGAAAGGTTAAAACAGGTTTGAACATTTATTGAATAGACTCCAGTTTAACTCTTTAAAAGCAGCTGCACAGTTAGAACTGAGGCCCAGCGTACTGAAACGTGACGCCAAGTTCTTTTGGCCAAGTTCTTTTGGCCAAGTTCTGGCATTGATGGTGTTGTCAGTTTGCACAAACCTCCACGGCAGCAGAAAAAGAAAAAAAAAACCTTGTCATTGAGCGTTTTGATTTATTTAAAAGGGAGGAATAACCCAATTTAAACAAGAATTTAAATCCTTTATGCTAAACTTTGTTGAAGCATCCCTGGCATCCTTAAAGTATTTTGATTCCCAACGTTCAAAACATGTTTTTGTTGACAGAATCATTTGAAGCGGGACACGTTGGATAGGAAACTCAGAACACAGTAGTTCAGAGGCTTTCAGGGCACTGGATCAGAGTTTTCTTGATGCCACTTGTGAAATATGTTTTGTGTTCTTATCTCTTGAAAAAAAAAAACAATTTAGGCAAAATATCAAGTTCCTGCAGTCTGTGAAAGTTTTTTTTTTTTTGTTACTCAACATCGTTCATTCTTTTTGTCCATTCATCTTTTTTCTCTGGCTTAACCAATTTCCCAGTTGCTGTCACTGCTGAAAGATTTCCCCAGTGGCATGGTGTCAACACCATTTTTGAATGATGGGACTATACCAGTATGTTGGTTCCCTACTGTTTGAAAGTCGTTTAGATGTTGTTTTGTTTTGGTTATGTCAAACTCTTGTAATGGCCTTTTTATTTGCTTGTTAAAGGCCTTTTTAGTTGATTGGTGCACTGATGGCTTTTACTGAAAAAAACAAAACAAAAAAAAAAACAAGAGCTCAGTTGCCATGGTAAAATGAGTTAATTTATAGATTTATGATTAGGTTTAATATTGTTAAGTTTTGTGCTTTGTGTTTTCATTTTATCAGTTCATTTTATTTCGTGCCATCTACAATGTCTCCTCCTCCAGTTTCTCCACAGTCAGTCAGTCTGCTATTCCCAGTTGCATGTGTTCCTGGTTTCATTAGTCACAGCTGCAGCCACTCTTCCCATCAGCCTCAGCCCATAATTTTAGCATATTGTGCGTAAATAAAATACATTTAAATGAATTTGTTGTACTTCATGATCAGTTTCAAACATGCAAATTATCCAACATGCTCAAATAAAACCTGATAAAAACAGACGCCATAGTTTCAGAAGAAATATATTTTTTAAAGTCAAAAGCACTTTTTAAAAATAGCGTTTACCAGAACCTGAATAACTGTTATATGTGATTCATGTAGCTTGACTCGTGCTGTGAGCCAAACACCCACACACACACACAGCTCTGCACTCATTCATGTACCAAACCCTAATGGTTAAAGCTGAGACACAAATCAAGACATTCTCACTCAAACAAGCTGTAGATCCATTTTATTATAAATCATCAGAGCTGTGTTTTATGCAACATGGCATTTAAAACAAGCGCAGTTCTGTTCCTTTCACTCAATTTTTGCCTGACTGTGTTGAAACAGATTCATGCAAATGTCTTTCAAGCTTTACAGACACTTTATGAAATAATTCCTTACGCATCCATTCTTCATTTTGGTTGTGTGTCGGCTAGGAAAGATGGAAGAAACATTGAGATGTGCAAACCTCCAGCTCACTCTCTAATGAAGTCAGTGTTCAGTAAAGAAAATATTTTCCATTAAGATGATTATTAGATAAGACTTGTGACCTCTTGTGACCTGCCCAGGGTGTACCCTGCCTCTCGCACAGCGATAGCTGGACATGGGCACCAGTGACCCCTGCGACCCAAAAAGGAAGAAGCAGGTAAATATAATGGATGGATGGAAGGACAATCATTAGACAAACATCAAATCTAACAACAAAAAATAAAAAATAAATCCATCTCTTTGTCAGTAAGGACTACTTCATATGAACCGTCACAGGATAGGTAAACTCATGATCTAGTAATGACCTGCTGGGTTGATGCACAGTAACAAGTGAGCACATGCACACACATTCACAAATAATTAGTGCAAACAGACTAACAGCTATGAGCTCCTTCCTATTAGGACAAATGTTAGTATTTTTATATTCTGATATAGACTATAATTTGTTAAAAAACTAAAATCTTCAAACTAAGATGCAGAAGAAAGTCTAATTTTGCAACAATACCTATTTCTACATTAAAATGAAGCTTTTTGCAACAGGTGATCTTCAGGTGAAAATCTCAAGTAAGCATTTATGACAAACACCCAATCGCCATGACGACAAAGAGAAAACGCACGTCTGACTTACTACTTAATAAATTGTATTTTGTTTTGTTTCATAAAAAAAAAAATTAATCAGGCTATTTTGATTCCAGAAGTTTCTTAAGTTTTGTAACTTAAGCATCTGTTTGTATACACAGAGAAAGCAGATTAGTTTTGTTTCAACAGAACTAAAAAGCACCTTGTAAAGAACAGAAATGCTCCTTGAATTATTTCTGTGGGCTTTTTTTTTTTTTTTTCAATTAATTTGAAATACACAAAATCAATAGTTTCAATTTTTTGGAGCTTTTGTAGTTTATAGACTAGTTGATGTATTTGGGTGTTCTTTGTGTTCCATTATTATTTTGTTTATTGATCGCTGTAAACACTGTTCCCTCAAACAAAAAGGCTCTCACTTCAGCTTTTGGAAAAGGGTATTAACCTGTGTGATGGTTCTTCTTCATGTTCCAATCTTTTGTTGTTGTTATTTTTTTTTTTTGGTTTACAAAATTAAGTGTTTTTCCTTTCCCAAAATGCACAACTTTGTATTAAAACATGAAACTGAATATTTGTTAGACGACTAGAATAGTTTATTCAAACATAAAATAAAGTAAAAATAAATAAACTAACAAATTAATACACAAAGAAACAAACAAACAAACAATCAAATTATTAAGTAAGTAAGTAAATAAATAAATAAACACAAAATGACGGAACAACAAATACATTTTAATGCATAATAAAGAACTAAAGAATGTACATTTTTGCAGATTTGAAAATGTCAGTGTATTTCTCTATTGTACAGTTCTTGTAGATGAGAGCCAAAATAAAGCTCTATGTAGCACAGTCATACAGTTTTGAATTAAATGTTGGGTTGCTTGGATACTCTGCTCTTGCTAAGCAAACTACTTGCTAGGCTGAAATTGTCTGCCTCCTCCCATTCAAAAGGAGATGTAAGGGCTGTACACAGTTTTCTGCGCCACTCTGGGAAGTGTTATAACAATTTTCCAAAACTTAAAAATCATCTAAAATGAATCCGATTCGGAATTCAGATTGAACGTTCAGTTCAAGAGTTTTAGAAAAGTAAACGTGTTTGTCAAGGCCGCAGAGCAGAACAGATAAATGATGATGCTGTTTGAGTTTCTTTCATCTTGAGCATTAGAACAAGACTTATTTTAGTTTACCGCTAATCAAATACATGAAAACATTACTGATTTAACAGTAAGCAGCCCCATATCGCAGCTCGACTCTTCTGAGCTGAGGTCACAAACACCAACAGTGCCCTCAGCTACTCCCACTGAAATGTTGCACGAGTAGAAAACACTAAGGTCAGAAGGCGCAGTTAAAAACAGCAAATGCAACAATGTCACGTCTTGTCTGTTGCTATAACAA